GTCATCGTAGTACATCCTCTGTTTGAAAACAGTATGCATGTATCCATCGTAATATCGTATTCTGTATTAGTATTCGCCATTCGGTTGCTTACGGAGCCACAGTGATGCGCGCGTACAGGCCCTGTGACGTAACACTGGACCTTTCAGCGGGCACAGTCAAGGGAAAGTGACATGACATGCATGCACGTACAACTCACTGAGCACAACAAGTTGCTACATATTTCTTCGGCATAATACAACCACTTGTGTAGCAAGACCATCCCACTAGCCATGCAATTTGAGAAAAACGCTCGTTAAACTTCACGTTTGTTTGGGTTAAATTAGCGCGCTGCTGCGTCAAAGTCGCCGAATGGCAACGAGACAAATTTGTTCAGTTGAAATTGAAACCATGAGCAACTAGATGAATCAACGGTCGCAACTGCCGGGGAGCCTGCCGTTGGAAGCGGAGCCGAGGAAATTGCCGGGGAGGGACGTACGTGATCTCGAAAAGAGGGATGCGTCAAGGTCGGACAGTCAAACGAGATGAAATTACTTATGCAAAAGGATAGTGTACAATATATGGAGGTGGACAGTACCCACCGTAGATGTATACTATGTCAATGAAAACAAATGTGAGCAGCCAACCCTTGGTAGGTTATTATAAGAGTTAGGTAGGGTTGAATAGGTAGAGAATGGATGAAGTTGCTGAGAATGTCAAGACTTGCGTGTAGTTGAACAAACTCTTTTGATTCAACAAGGCACGCCATGTGTGATCAATAAATAACAACCGGAAAGCAAATTTACTAGTACTACCAAGTTTTTCTTTAACTGCCCTCGTTTCAGAAAAGCTTTCTTTAACTAATCGCTCGCTATTAAGTATTAAATGTATACTTTTGGAGGATTGGATCTGATATCACCATCACATGTAGATGTAGGCATGTAGTACAACCTAATACAAACAAATGTGCACGCTCAAAAAGCACAAAGCACACATGCTCACTGTGCCAAAAGCTATCAACCTTTTTATTTTCATGTTCTCTCTCTCCTTTTTTTTTGCGATGGACTCCTTTTGAGAGAATCACGAGGCTATACATGACATGAAGTAGAAATACTGTACTATACCCTAGGAAGTAAGTACTCCCTCTGTAAATAAATATAAGAGTGTTTAGATAACTAAAGTAGTGATCCAAACGCTCTTATATTTCTTTACAGAGGGAGTACTAGGTACGATTTACGAAAAAACCTTTCGTTCCCGGATACAAGTGCTCCTAGTGGTTAAAATAGTTTTTGATATATATTTTTTTGTCAAAAACACCAAAAAAATCGAGCTGGATTACTATTTTTGAAATACATATAATAGGCTTGGCCCTTTCGATCTTTCCGATTGTTGTTTCTTGAATTTTGGTTGTAATTTCTTAAGTATTGATTTAAATTATACTTTTGTGTTTAGTGATGTAAAAGCTCATTTTCTCATTAATAAGAAGACTATATAGGAGAGATGGCCGCGTGGTTGCACCTGAAGTAATCTACATGTCGATATTAATATATTCCCTTTATCAGAAAAAAATGTAATCTACATGTTTGTTGAACTGATAAATTGCCATGAAACAATTTAAATGGTTGCGAGAAGTTTGGTTGTGTTTCTATAGATTTGAATTTGCTTTTACAATCCCTATAGCTTGGTTTTTTTTGTACAACATGCCATTCTAATTTTGATTTTTTTTGTGCAATGGTAAAGAACATCATAACATGCATGACTGATGTTTTTGACGGTTTTCTACAATGATATGGAAGTTTAAAAAATATTTCCTGTACCAGGTATTTGGTGCTTGAGAGCCAAAACATTGCACCCTAATGGATCGTAGTGATTTGTGTTTCTTGGTGAGAAAACCAAGTAAACGTGTGGATCATAGTGGGAAAATATCCATGGATCCTAGACCCAGTTTATATGGGGAGTAAATTGTGTTTGCTCCCGCCACCCGTTGAGTTCAATATCGGTGAGCATGCATAAGATGCCCCAATCCAAGTATCCTCTTAGGAGGCTAATCAAACCTATAGCTATAATATTTATAAAATGGAAAAGTGTATATTATGTTCAAAATGTTGGAAACAATTCATACTTGTATCATAATAAAATAAAAATAAATAACAACATCAGATATAGGCATGTAGTACAACTTGATAAAAACAAACATGTCCGTAGAAAAGCACAAACAACACAAGATGCTCTCATAAAATCTCCCCCTTCCCTTCTTTTCTTCTCATAGACTCGAGCATGAAAATTTGGGGTTATGCCAATAGTCATATGGTTGTTTTTTTAAATTCTGTGGCAACACAAATTTCTTACCAAATGAATCTTATTTCTCTTATTTCTTCTTCTCATTTAGCACACATGCGCTCGCCATAGGTTGAGGGGCAAAGGCTTGAGCGGTTAGGGTTATGTATGGGGTGTTAGCAGCTACCGAGGAATAATTGGATGTCCCCGTATTTAGTGAGATGTATGACCAATGGACATGCTGATGGTGGTGGTAGCTAGCTAGTTAGGACAGAGCAACGAGATGAAGCTGTAATTATGCCGATCATAGGCGGCCGGTGGGGTGGAGCTATGGATGGGTCGATAAGTAGTGAGAGGAGACAAACCATACATTAGAAAAGGCAAGGGAGCTGATGGTGGATCTTGTATGGAGGAACCACCGTAGACATAGAAGAAGGTAGCGAAACAGTGGTGATCCAACATTCACTCGGATGGGCGATGGAAGAGAAAGGGATGGTGACAATGAATGTGTTGATTGGAGGGGTAAGGTAAGGCATTGCCCCCAATGACATCAAGTCTAGGACGGTGACACACGTGGTGGTAGAAGATGGTGTGCTGGTGCCTTGGATGATCGGTGCTGAAACTCTACTAACTATTGATGGTCAAGAATGGGGTTGAAGGATGGAGGGCAAATATGTGACGCGGTCCTCGCAGCTAAAAAAGTGCCATTTTGTGTGAAGGAATGGCATGACGAACACTATCTCGAGCAGGTGATTACACCAACAAAGTAATCCATGTGATGGCTTCCCCCAGATGCGTGTTGGATTATGGCAAATGCAGACAGTGCGCTATCTAAGGATGGATCCATAGGTGCTAGGGGTGCAATTCTTCGGGATCATCATGGCTCATTCATCGCCAGAGTGTACTTTTTTCTATTGTCCACCACAGAACCAGAGCTAGCAGAGTTGCATGCTTCCAGCGAGTGGTGAACC